TCTGCCTACAAGAAAATCTGTCACCAAAGTACACCAACATCCGAATATATATATGTATGTATGTATGTATGTTTTATACTAAGCAAAAAGTGTCTTATTTTTTTATTTCAACATTAATATTTCAACTATTGCTCTAGAAGTTGAATTTTTTCGTGACATGTTTAAAAAGTACTTTTCAGATTACCCTAATGTATCTACTAGATATAAATTTTTTATTATTTTTATACACTTAGGTGGTTTTATAGTATTTCCTGTTAGAACAGACTTGATGGATGATGGAAAATATGTTGGTGGAAATTTCACCACGGATCTTGGAATATTTGAGAAAGCTGGGATATTAAGAAATGTTCGAGAACCAAAGTTTTATGAAGGATATTTTAAAGGAATCGATTGTTTTACTTACATTATGAAAGTTTTGAAATAAACGAGGTACTGACCTTGAAATTACAAATTTTAAGATCTGAAGAATGTTATGCAGGATATCCAGTGAATGGGATTAGCAAGTGAAAAAACTAAAAAATAAACGCCATTTCCTACGTATTTGTGATTTTTATTATATTTTTACCAGGTAGTTTGAATAATTCTTCTTTTGGTATATCTAATATTTTGACTTCTGTTTTAATTTAAACTTAAAAAGAAAGACAATCCTTGTCTGCTAATTGTTGCTACAAAAGCTTGAGTAATGATGGCACAACTATCAAATAAGTCAATTTTAAACCAGACACGGGATATATATTTTTTTTCAGAACAAGCTAGTCTAAGTGGATTTTCTGCCGTGTTCAACAAATCTATGACAGCAACAGGTTGTCTCCTGCTGGATCAACGATATGTTTATGGGCCTACCACCCTAAAATCTAGGATTCGGTTCCTAGAGGGGGAAAAGAATGCAGATTGCCCGTTGTATAGCTTGCACTAAGAAAACAACAACAACAGTAACACTTTATTAACAACATATAAGATTATTAAAATAGTTTTAATATTGTTATATTTTGCTTACGTTTAGCCGTTTAGGTACATCATCAAATGATACACAATGCTAATATTACATGCATAAATGCACCTACCTGGTGACATCTATTTCACAAACAATTACTTTAGAATAATATATGTACTCGTACTTACGTATTTTGCTCATATCTGGAGATCTGTATGTAGTCAAGATAAATTCCCAAGTTATACGTTTGTTCACATTAGTTTTGTAATGTCTCTATTTTCAGTTTGCTTGAAGTACTAAACATGTAATGGGGACTGTACATAATTTTGATTTCTACAGAATAAGTTAATTTAAAGCACATTATTGTACTTCAAAAACAGAAACAACCACAGTTTTAAGTATCGTAAAATATTCATTATTAGAAATTCGAGGGGGCGGGTTAACCTGCCGAAATATGGATTTGAGGGCGATAATAGTGACAGCCAAATTCCATTATTGAATTATAATACCCCAAGAGTAGGTAGTTGGTGTTAACTAGCTACTTTACCCCAAGTCTATCAGTTCAAAATTAAGGTCAGCAGTAAGCTTACAGGCGTACAACGCTAAAAATCGGATTTCGATACCTATAGTTGGGAGAGCATGGATAGCCCATTGAGTAGCTTTGTACTTCACGACAACCAAATCAAAATTAAGCAAGGCTACTGTAAATAGCCCTTGTGAAGCTTTGTGTAAGTATCCTACACAAATTGTTATAGATCTTGAATACCTTAAACTTTATTCTATAGAATAAAAGCTATATCGAGGATACATATTTAAAGTGTGGTGTATATCGAAAGTGTTTTGTTGTCAAGATTCCGCCACATTATGAATCTAATCACGCTATTATTACAAAAAGAGAGAGAGAGAAAAAAAACTACATTTACTCCTCAGATAATAATAATAATAAATCTTTCTTATTTCAACCAATGTTTCGCCATTGCGGTTTCATCAGTGCTAGTAGTACAAGAAACGCTTGAAAAGAAAGGGTATTTTTTTTTCTAACTTTTTCGCCAAAATGTCTAAATCCCTACTGTATACACTAGAAATTCCGAATATTCATCCTATTCATCAGAAACTAAATGTTTTCTATGCGTACACTTGGCAGGCCCTAACGTTTGTTCTGAAATGAATGATTTAAATAACGATAAGCTGTTTTTAAAATCGGTGGCTGTTATTAGAGGTTTTTGATACAATTATATATATATAATTGAGAGAACATTTAGATGTTTGTTTGCTAGTCATGATGACGACGGAATGGCCTAAAAAGTTCATCAAAGTTAAGAATTTAGAAGATTTTTGTAGTATGTAGAAATAAGAGTACATTATAAATACCAGATTCTGTTAATCAGTGAGTGATTCACTTTTGTGTCAGTTGGTGAAGTAGAAATTAAGAGTTATTGCATTTGTTGGTTTGCAGTTCAGTTAGTTAATTAATCAGCGTGTTTGTTATAGATCTATTAGCGAGGAAATCCTACAAGTACGTTAGAAGTACATTAGTTTCAGAGTTTCAGTTGAAACGTTACTTGTGAAGTTAGTTCTACAAGTGAATACAGCACGTAGAAAACATTATCGAATAAATACTTCGTTATCATTACATGAACTAAACTTGACATTATTTTTATCAAATTCGCCCAACGGTAGAAAACATTACATCTTACTTGCCCGATATTTCTGAAGAACTAGAAAAAATATTTAAATAATGGAGCTTTTATATCACAGAATAATTTTGGAAATTATCTAAGACAATTAAAAGACCCGAAAGTTTGTTTGTTTGTTTTTGAATTTCGCGCAAAGCAACACGAGGGCTATCTGCGCTAGTCGTCCCTCATTTAGTAGTGAAAGACTAGAGGGATGGCAGCTAATCATCACCACCCACCTCCAACTCTTGGGCTACTCTTTAACCACAGAATAGTGGGATTAACCGTAACATTATAACGCCCTTACGGCTGAAAGTGCGAGTATCTTTGAACCCGCGAATCGCAGATTTCTAGTCGAGCGCCCTAACCACCTGGCCATGCCGGGCCCTTTTTATTAATATTCTCGTGTATGTATCTGATACGGGCCCTTCTATTGTGGTAATAACATACAGATTTGTCGGTTTTGGAGGAAGGAAAGTTAAAAATATTTATGCTGGGTAAATGTTAAATAGATCAACCTATCTAGATGTTTTTCAAAAAAATATTGAAAATACGCTAAAATATCCAACAACTGAAGCTTTTTAGAACATTTTCGTGGCAATCTAACATATCAATATTTATTTCACCTAAGAGTTTGGTAATTGTTAATTATGCCAGGAGACAAAATTTAAGTTTAATGATAGGTAGTTATCTGAGATTGATGGAAATGGACATGAATTGAAGTTGTGGTATGTTAAAAGAAATACTTTTTATGAGGCAAAATGTACCATCTGTAAATCTGAAATCAAATGTAATGATAGTGGACTTAAATAAATTCTCTAACATGCATCAGGATCCCATCATAAAAAACTGAGTAAAACCCTTTTTTCATTGAGTCAGACAAAACTAGCATTCAAAAGTCAACCAATCGATGACATCTCAAAGGAAAGTGCAAATACAAAGTTTGCAGGTGAAAAGCAGGACCTTCTAGTCAGATATCTGGGACATCGACTTAAAGAGAAACTCACTATTCTCACTTATACTGTACTAAGAGAGGATACCTTGTGTGTGGAAGTTATCTGGGCAGAAAAATGTGCATTGCTCAACATAAGTTTCAGAACTAGTGATGGTATTACTGAAACTTTCAAAGCAATGTTAAAATGCTCAATAGCTGACACTTTCAGTATGAGCAGAACAAAGCTATTTTACCTACTGTCAGATGGTTTGGATCCAGGTTTCACTTCTGCTTTGATATATAATGTATGAAACTCAAGTAACTCATTTTTATTTTTATTAAAATTTATGAAACAACTTAAGCATAGATAAAGAAACATAAGAAATGGAAATCACCAAACAATCAGAAGATGAATGAAAGGCTGTTGTCCTGTCTTTTATAATGTTAAGGATCCGATACACTTATGCAAACAAGTCTGATTCAAAGTACTGTCTGGCAAAGCTCCATAAGCACGTCAGTTTTGAAAGAACTTCATTGGCGAGTTTCTTTATAAGAGCTTTTGCTTCCTGATTAGAAAACGCATATGCTTCTGGTCACTTGGTAAAATAGACATTTACAACTATGATGTATCCATGCTCACTGTTAGTCTGTGGAAAAATACCAAGCACATCAATAGCAACTCTCTCCAGTAGTGCTTCAACACAATAATTTCTTTAGTGGACCTTTCTACTTTAAGCAGAGTTCACATGTTTCACACCAATTATCCATAGACCCTCCAGTACCCACCCATTAAAAGTGTTCTCTTACTTACTTCAGTGTCTTCTTAACATTTAAGTGTCTGGCCATTGGAAGTTTGTGGAGATGAAAAGCTACATGATATGGATGTACCAACTGTAGTTATTGTTTTTGTCTACTGGTATATTCCCATTTCCGACATAATAAGCCATCCTGTAGGCATAATAAGTGACACTTTCCTTAGTACATCTTTATTTTCGGGTGTATGGAGTGATTGTTTGCTATGACGCTATTTCTGCACTATCCTTGAGCCACTGCTTTCAAACACTGATCTTTTGCCTAGGCAGCTTCCATTTGGGTGTTGGACCACATCAGTTCTTCATTGGAGATGAATGAATGTCACATCTTGGGCTACATTTTACTCTACTTTAGGTTGGTTAAATATTCTTCCCTGTGCTTCCCTCTTCTAACAGTGTTTACACTCACCATTTCATGTGATCTTTGAGATAATGCATCAGCATTTCCACGGTTTTGTCATGGGCAAAGTATGATGTGAAAGTCGTACTTCTAGAGTTTTTGGAACCATCTTGATATCTAGTATTCTGAATTACGAAAATTCACCAGATGCTTTAATACTGCATGATTTGTTTGGAGCATAAACTTTTGTTTATATAGAAAATGAAGAAAGTAATTCAGGGCTTGAACTTTGTAGCTTCTTTTGACTTGTACAATACTTCCTTTCTGTGGTGTTCATTGCATTGATATTGTAGGCAATCACATATTTTTGTTTTCATATTGATCTTGTGACAAAACTGTTTCCACTGCACAATCACTGGCATCTGTGTCTAATATGAGTGGATCTTTCAGAGTTGGATATACCAATACAGGAGCAATGGGCAATTCTTTCTTCAGTCTGCTGAATGCTTGTTTGAAATTGGCAGTTCAACAAAACATATTTGGCTTCTCAAGTAGTTTGTTTAGAAGACAAGCTGTGTCAGAGAAAGATTTTACAAAATAATGATAGTAAGAGCAAACTTCACAAAATCCTTTTACTTCATGTAAGGTCTTTGGCATTGGCCGATTGTGATTGGAGTCAATTTTTGATGGATCTACAGGCACACCTTCACTGTTGATGGAATAATTCACATTTCTTAGGTGGGATTCAGTTTAAGATTATCTTTCCTCAATCAATCCAGAACTTTCCTTAGCCCTTCATAGGCATTATCAAAGTTCTTCACCTGTGAAATTATGCTATCCAAGT